CTCACTTTTTTCCCTCATCAATTCTATGATTAACCTCATCCTTCATAAATCCATCCGCTGACAGTCAACTCCCAAGTATCTGAAAACATTCACTTCTTCCATACTCCTCCTCCAATTTGATATCCAATTTTTCTTTATCTAAATCATTTGACACCCTCATCACCTTACTCTTTTCTTTTGTTCACTTTCAACTTTCTACCTTTACACACATTCCCAAACTCATCCAAATAACCTTTGCAATTTTTCTTTAGAATCTCCCATAAGCACAGTATCATCAGCAAAAAGTAACTGTGTCAATTCCCATTTTGAAATTTGATTCCCATAATTTAATCCCACCCCTCTCCCAAACACCTTTGCATTTACTTCCTTTACAACCCCATCTATAAATATATTAAAAAACCATGGTGACATTACACTTCCCTGTCTAAGACCTACTTTTTCCGGGAAGTAGTCTCCCTCTCTTCTACACACCCTAACCTGAGCCTCACTTCCTCATAAAACTCTTTACAGCATTTAATAACTTACCACCTATTCCATATACTTGCAACATTTTGCCACATTTTCTCCTCTATCCACTCTATCATATGCCTTTTCTAAATCCATAAATGCAATAAAAACTTCCCTATCTTTATCTAAATACTGTTCACATATATGCTTCAATGTAAACACCTGATCTACACATCCCCTACCCACTCTAAAACCTCCTTGCTCATCCGCAATCCTACATTCTGTCTTACCTCTAATTCTTTCAATTATAACCCTTCCGTACACTTTTCCTGGTATACTCAGTAAGCTTATTCCTCTATTTAATTTTTACAGTTTTCTTTTGTCCCCTTTCCCTTTATATAAAGGGACTATACATGCTTCTGCCAATCCTAGGTACCTTCCCTCTTTCATAAAATTTATTAAACAAAAGTACCAACCACTCCAACATATATCCCCCCCTGCTTTTAACATTCTGTCTGATCCATCAGTTCCAGCTGCTTTACCCCCTTTCATTTTACGTAATTTCCTCACGTACCCCCCCCACACTTACATTCTGCTCTTCTCACTCCTAAAAGATGGTATATCCCTGACCAGTGCATGAAATTACTGCCTCTGTTTCTTCCTTAACATTTAAAAGTTCCTCAAAATATTCTCGCCATCTACCCAATACCTCCATCTCCCCATCTACTAACTCCTCTACTCTGTTTTTAACTGACAAATCCATATTTTCCCTAGGCTTTTCTTAACTTGTTTAACTCCAAAATTTTTTCTTATTTTCATTAAAATTTCTTGACAGTGCCTCTCCCACTCTATCATCTGCTCTCCCTTTTTCCTTCTCTCACCACTCTCTTTACCTTTCTTTTACTCTCCATATACTCTGCTCTTCTTATAACACTTTGCTTTGTTTAAAAAAACCCCTATAAGCTACCTTTTCTCTTTATCACACCCTTTACTTCATCATTCCCCCAATCACTCCTCTTTCCTCCCGCCCCACCCTCCTATAACCACAAACTTCTGCCCCACATTCTAATACTGCATTTTAAAACTATTCCAACCCTCTTCAACCCCCCACTACTCATCTTTGCACTAGCCCACCTTTCTGCCAATAGTCGCTTATATCTCACCCAAAACTTCCTCCTCCTTAGTTTAAAACCTTTCACCTCCCTCTTACTTGTTGTTGCCACCTTCCTCTTTTCCCATCTACCTCTTACTCTAACTGTAGCTACAACTAAATAATGATCCGATATATCAGTTGCCCTCTATAAACATGTACATCCTGGAGCCTACCCATCAACCTTTATCCACCAATACATAATCTAATAAACTACTTTCATTACGTGCTCATCATACCTTGTATATTTATTTATCCTCTTTTTCATAAAATATTTTATTACTTATTACCAAATTTTTTTACACATAGCTCAATTAAAGGCTCCCCATTTAATTTCCCCCTGGCACCCAAATTTACCTACTACTCCCTCCATAACATTTTACCCACTTTAGCATTAAAACCCCCAACCACCATTACTCTCACACTTGATTCAAAACCTCCCCACGCATTCACTCAACATTTCCCAAAATCTCTCTCTCTCCTCTACACTTCTCTCTTCTCCAGGTGCATACACGCTTATTAAAACCCACTTTTCACATCCAATCTTTATTTTACTCCACATAATCCTTGAATTAATACATTTTTTTAGTCCCTCTTTTCCTCCCATAGCTTATCCTTCAACATTATTGCTACTCCTTCTTTAGCTCTAACTCTATTTGAAACCCCTGACCTAATCCCATTTATTCCTCTCCACTAAAAACTCTCCCACCCCCTTCAGCTTTGTTTCACTTAAAGCCAGGACATCCAGCTTCTTCTCATTCATAACATCCACAATCATCTCTTTCTTATCATCTGCACAACATCCACGCACTTTCAGACTTCCCACTTTGACAATTTTCTTCTTCTTATTCTTTTTAGTAAACTTTACAGGAAAAGGGGTTACTAGCCCATTGTTCCCGGCATTTTAGTTGAAATTTTACAACACGCATGGCTTACGGAGGAAAGATTCTTATTCACTTCCCCCCTGGATATAAAAAGGGAAAAATTTAAAAAGACCAAGAACTATTTTAAAAATAAAATCAAAGAAAACTCAGATGAGTGTGTATAAATAAATGTGTACATGTATGTGTAGTGTGACCTAAGTGTAAGTAGAAGTAGCAAGACATGCCTGTAATCTTGCATATTTATGAGACAGACAAAAGACATCAGCAATCCTAAACCATCATGTAAAACAATCACAGGCTTCGTTTTACACTCACTTGGCAGGACGGTAGTACCTCCCTGGGTGGTTGCTGTCTACCAACCTACTACACATGTATATACATTATAGGTAGTAGGTTGGTAGACAGCAACCACCCAGGGAGGTACTACTGTCCTGCCAAGTGAGTGTAAAACAAAAGCCTGTAATTGTTTTACATGATGGTAGGATTGCTGGTGTCCATTTTTTGTCTCATAAACATGCAAGGTTTCAGGTACGTTTTGCTACTTCTGCTTACACTTAGGTCACACTACACATACATGTACAAGCATATAATATATATATATATACACACACCCCTCTGGGTTTTCTTCTATTTTCTTACTAGTTCTTGTTCTTGTTTATTTCTTCTTATCTCCATGGGGAAGTGGAACAGAATTCTTCCTCCGTAAGCCATGCGTGTTGTAAGAGGCGACTAAAATAGCAGGAGCAAGGGTCTAGTAACCCCTTCTCCTGCATATATTACTAAATGTAAAAGGAGAAACTTTTGTTTTTCCTTTTGGGCCACCCCGCCTCGGTGGGATATGGCCGGTGTGTTGAAAAAGAAAAAAATGTATGTACATGAATGTGTATACATATCCATCTGAGTTTTCTGTTTTCTTAAAATTTCTTGTTCTTACATTATTTCCCTTCATCTCCATGAGGAGGCATGGAAGAATCCTTCCTCTGTAAGCCTTTTATTTTATTTTATTTTATTTTATTTGTTTTATGTCTTTGCAACCAGTACATTGAGATTTTATATTTACAATAGTGGGTTGCAGTGCAAAGAGAGCCTCTATTATGCCTAGGCATTATGGGCCAACTTAACATTATTGGCTTACAGTCTACTTAACACTAAGGAGTATATCATAGTTGTACAGTAGGATAGTAATTATTTCATAGTTGTACAGCAGAATATTAATTATGAATGAATCAAAATTTGTATAATACAAAGATATATTTATATTTGAACATACTTTTTGAGAAAACAATGATTCAGTTATATTCCTGTCAACAATGGATTTAAAAGGTTCAAAGTGAATGTTTCAGTTATGATGTGGGGGTACATAGGTGAGTATTTGTGTACTGAGTATTTAGCATTTAGTCTAGGGTGATTAAGTGGCTTTTGAGAAGAGTCTTAAATTGATTTTCAGACTGGGTTACTTTAATATCTTCTGGTAATGCATTCCATATTTTGGGGCCCTTTATGTGTATAGAGTTTTTACACAGTGTGATATGGACACGAGGTATATCAAAAGGAGATCTGTCTTGTGTTGTGGTCAAGTGTCCTGTTTAGGTTGGTGAGAAGTTTGAGTGGAGGGCTTATATTTGCGTGTATTGTTCTGTGTATGTAGTAGGCACATGAATAAGTATGGATGTTCTTAATGGTGAGCAGATTCAGACTTGAAAATTGGTGGAGTATGCTGGTGGGAGTGGTAATTGGTTATCATTCTTACTGCTACCTTTTGCTGGGTTATTAGGGGTTTTAGATGATGGGGTGTTGTTGATCCCCCATGCACAAATTCCATATGTAAGAAAAGGGTATATGAGTGAATGGTACAGTGCCAGGAGAGCTGATTGTGGAACGTAGTACCTTATCTTTGATAGTATGCCTACAGTCTTGGAGATTTTCTTGGTGATTTGTTGTATGTGTGTCCGGAACTTAAGGCTACTGTCAAGGTGGATACCTAGGAATTTTCACTCTGTGAGTCTTGTGACTGATGATCCATTTAGGATTATGTTAATTGGATCATTTGCAGCTTTGTTTCCAAACTGAATGAAATAGGTTTTATCAGTGTTCAGGGTAAGTTTGTAAGTCATCATCCAGGCAGTAACCCCTTCTCCTGTATTAGTTATTAAATTAAAAAAAAAGGACATTTGAAATTGAATTTGAGTACTGAATGATGTATAAATATACAATTAACACATATCATTATTTTATGAATATATTAGTAATGTTAGCACCTATTACTGAACCTTGTACAAAATTATTTTACTATGTTAGGTAAAAGGACACATGTGCAAGTCTAGTTGCCTTTCATTAATGCTCCTTCTTTGTTCTTTTTTTAAATAGTGACTTGCAAGCTGTCATAATGATAGTTTTATTATAATTATTATTATTATAAGACATACTGTCAGTTATCATTTTTGTGTTTGAGTTTTTGGTATATAAATACCTGCTTAGAGTCACAGCCTTCACACTCAAAGTTTTCTTTTGTTTTCCAGTTGTAAACTCCAATCCATGTATGGTGGGTAATGGTGGATGTGAACATATATGCATCCCTAAGAACAGCAAACAACGAACCTGTAGGTGCACAACTGGTTACAGAGCTGATGGTGAGAAAGCCTGCAAACCCTATGATAAATTTGCAATTGTATCCCAGTTGGAAATTGTACGGGGCTACAGTTTAGATGGGGCAGGAGAATCCATGTCTCCTATTGCTGGTCCAGGTGAGTCCAAACACATTCATTTGAAAATATATATAAATATATATATAAATATAGGTAGTAGGTTGGTAGACAGCAACCACCCAGGAAAGTACTACTGTCCTGCCAGATGACTATGAAACAGAAACCTGTAACTGTTTTACATGATGGTAGGATTGCTGGTGTCTTTTCCTGTCTCATAAACATGCTGGATAGCAGGGATATCTTGCTACTTCTACTTACACTTAAGTCACACTACACAGGCACACACATGCATATATATACATGCAACTAGGTTTTTCTTCTTTTTTCTAAATAGCTCTTGTTCTTCTTTATTTCTTCTATTGTCCATGGAGAAATGGAAAAGAATCTTTCCTCCATAAGCCATGCGTGTCGTATGAGGCAACTAAAATGCCGGGAGCAATGGGCTAGTAACCCCTTCTCCTGTAAACATTTACTAAAAAAGAGAAGAAGAAAAACTTTATAAAACTGGGATGTTGGAATATGCATGGACGTAGTGGGGATGACAAGGAAGAGATGATTGCTGATTTTATAAATGAAAAGAAGTTGGACGTCCTGGCCCTAAGCAAAACAAAGCTGAAGGGGGTAGGGGAGTTTCAGTGGGGAGAAATAAATAGGATTAAGTCAGGGGTATCTGAGAGAGTTAGAGCTAAGGAACGGGTAGCAATAATGTTGAAGGATCAGTTAAGGAAGGAGAAGAGAGAATATAAATGTGTAAATTCAAGGATTATGTGGATTAAAATAAAGGTTGGATGAGAAAAGTGGGTCATAATAAGCATGTATGCACCTGGAGAAGAGGAGTGCAGAGGAGAGAGAGAGAGATTTTGGGAGATGTTAAGCAAATGTATAGGAACCTTTGAACCAATTGAGAGAGTAATTGTGGTAGGGGACCTAAATGCTGAAGTAGGAGAAACATTTAGAGAGGGTGTAGTAGGTAAGTTTGGGGTGCCAGGTGTAAATGATAATGGGAGCCCTTTGATTGAACTTTGTATAGAAAGGGGTTTAGTTACAGGTAATACATATTTTAAGAAAAAGAGGATAAATAAGTATACAAGATATGATGTAGGGCATAATGACAGTAGTTTGTTGGACTAATTATTGGTAGATAAAAGACTGTTGAGTAGACTTCAGGATGTTGATGTTTATAGAGGGGCCACAGATATATCAGATCACTTTTTAGTTGTAGCTGCAGTGAGAGTAAAAGATAGATGGGATACAAGGAAAATGGAAGCATCAGGTAAAAGAGAGGTGAAGGTTTATAAACTAAAAGAGGAGGCAGTAAGGGTAAGATATAAACAACTATTGGAGGATAGATGGGCTAGTGAGAGTATAGGCAATGGGGTTGAAGAAGTATGGGGTAGGTTTAAAAATGTAGTGTTGGAGTGTTCAGCAGAAGTTTGTGGTTACAGGAAAGTGGGTGTGGGAGGGAAGAGGAGGGATTAGTGGAATGGTGATGTAAAGAGAGTAGTAAAGGAGAAAAAGTTAGCATATGAGGGTTTTTTACAAAGTAGAAGTGATGCAAGGAGGGAAGAGTATATGGAGAAAAAAAGAGAGGTTAAGATAGTGATGAAGCAATGTAAAAAGAGAGCATATGAGAGAGTGGGCGAGATGTTATCAACAAATTTTGTTGAAAATAAGAAAAAGTTTTGGAGTGAGGTTAATGAGGTGAGGAAACCTAAGGAACAAATGGATTTGTCAGTTAAAAATAGGGGAGGAGAGTTATTAAATGGAGAGTTAGATGTATCGGGAAGATGGAGGGAATATTTTGAGGAATTGTTAAATGTGTATAGGGCAAGGAGGAATAACATCTTGTAGGAGTGAGAAAGAGCCAGTTGTGAGTGTGGGGAAAGTTCATGAGGCAGTGGGTAGAATGAAAGGGGGTAAGGCAGCTAGGATTGATGGGATTAAGATGGAAATGTTAAAAGCAGGTGGGGACATAGTTTTGGAGTGGTTGGTGCTATTATTTAATAAATGTATGGAAGAGGGTAAGGCACCTAGGGATTGGCAGAGAGCGTGCATAGTTCCTTTGTATAAAGGCAAAGGGGACAAAAGAGAGTGCAAAAATTATAGGGAATAAGTTTGTTGAGTATACCTGGTAAAGTGTATAGTAGAGTTATTGTTGAAAGAATTAAGAGTAAGTTGGAGAATAGGATAACAGATGAACAAGGAGGCTTTAGGAAAGGTAGGGGGTGTGTGGACCAAGTGTTTACAGTGAAACATAAAAGTGAACAGTATTTAGATAAGGCTAAAGAAGATTTTGTGGCATTTATGGATTTGGAAAAGGCATATGACAGGGTGGATAGAGAGGCAGTGTGGCAGATGTTGCAGGTGTATGGTATACGAGGTAGGTTACTGAAAGCAGTGAAGAGTTTTTATGAGGATAGTGAGGCTTAGGTTAGAGTATGTAGGAAAGAGGGAGATTATTTCCCAGTAAAAGTAGGCCTTAGACAAATATGTGTGATGTCACCATGGTTGTTTAATATATTTATAGATGGGGTTGTAAGAGAAGTGAATGCTAGGGTCTTGGCAAGAGGCATGGAGTTAAAAGTTAAAGAATCAAACATAAAGTGGGAGTTGTCACAGTTGCTTTTTGCTGATGACACTGTGCTCTTGGGAGATTCTGAAGAGAAGTTGCAGAGGTTGGTGGATGAATTTGGCAAGGTATGTAAAAGAAGAAAATAAAAAGTGAATATAGGAAAGGGTAAGAGTATGAGGATAAAAAGATTAGGTGATGAAAGATTGGATATCAGATTGGAGGGAGAGAGTATGGAGGAGGTGAATGTATTCAGATATATGGGGGTGGACGTGTCAGCAGATGGGTCTATGAAAGATGAGGTGAATCGTAGAATTGATTAGGGGGAAAAGGGTGAGCGGTGCACTTAGGAGTCTGTGGAGATGAAGAACTTTGTCCTTGGAAGCAAAGAGGGGAATGTATGAGAGTATAGTTTTACCAAAGCTCTTATATGGGTGTGAAGCATGGGTGATGAATGTTGCAGCAAGGAGAAGGCTGAAGGCAGTGGAGATGTCATGTCTGAGGGCAATGTGTGGTGTGAATATAATGCAGAGAATTCATAGTTTGGAAGTTAGGAGGAGGTGCGGGATTGCCAAAACTGTTGTCCAGAGGGCTGAGGAAGGGTTGTTGAGGTGGTTCAGACATGTAGAGGGAATGAAATGAAGCAGAATGACTTCAAGAGTGTATCAATCTGTAGTGGAGGGAAGGTGGGGTAGGGGTCGGCCTAGGAAAGGTTGGAAGGAGGGGGGTAAAGGAGGTTTTGTGTGTGAGGGGCTTGGACTTCCAGCAAGCATGCGTGAGTGTATTTGATAAGAGTGAATGGAGACAAATGGTTTTTAATACTTGATGTGCTGTTGAAGTGTGAGCAAAGTAACATTTATCAAGGGATTCAGGGAAACCGGCAGGCCGGACTTGAGTCCTGGAGATGGGAAGTACAATGTCTGCACTCTAAAGGAGGGGTGTTAATGTTGCAGTTTTATAAACTGTAGTGTAAAGCACCCCTCTGGCAAGACAGTGATGGAGTGAATGATGATGAAAGTTTTTCTTTTTCGGGCATACCTGCCTTGGTGGGAATTGGCCGATGTGTTAATAATAATATATATATATGTATGAAAATAAGAAAAATTTTTGGAGTGAGTTAAACAAGTTAAGAAAGCCTCGGGAAAGTATGGATTTGTCAGTTAAAAACAGAGTAGGGGAATTAGTAGATGGAGAGAGGGAGGTATTAGGTAGATGGCGAGAATATTTTGAGGAACTTTTAAATGTTGAGGAAGAAAGGGAGGCGGTAATTTCATGCACTGGTCAGTTAGATATACCATCTTTTAGGAGTGAAGAAGAGCAGAATGTAAGTGTGGGGGAGGTACGCGAGGCATTATGTAGAATGAAAGGGGGTAAAGCAGCTGGAGCTGATGGGATCATGACAGAAATGTTAAAAGTAGGGGGGGGATATAGTGTTGGAATGGTTGGTACTTTTGTTTAATAAATGTATGAAAGAGGGGAAGGTACCTAGGGATTGGCGGAGAGCATGTATAGTCCCTTTATATAAAGGGAAAGGGGACAAAAGAGATTGTAAAAATTATAGAGGAATAAGTTTTTGAGTATACCAGGAAAAGTGTATGGTAGGGTTATAATTGAAAGAATTAGAGGTAAGACAGACTGTAGGATTGCGGATGAGCAAGGAGGTTTCAGAGTGGGTAGGGGATGTGTAGATCAAGTGTTTACATTGAAGCATATATGTGAACATTATTTAGATAAAGGTAGGGAAGTTTTTATTGCATTTATGGATTTAGAAAAGGCATATGATAGAGTGGATAGGGGAGCAATGTGGCAGATGTTGCAAGTATATGGAATAGGTGGTAAGTTACTAAATGCTGTAAAGAGTTTTTATGAGGATAGTGAGGCTCAGGTTAGGGTGTGTAGAAGAGAGGAAGACTACTTCCCGGTAAAAGTAGGTCTTAGACAGGGATGTGTAATGTCACCATGGTTGTTTAATATATTTATAGATGGGGTTGTAAAAGAAGTAAATGCTAGGGTGTTGAGGAGAGGGGTGGGATTAAATTATGGGGAATTAAATTCAAAATGGGAATTAACACAGTTACTTTTTGCTGATGATACTGTGCTTATGGGAGATTCTAAAGAAAAATTGCAAAGGTTAGTGGATGAGTTTGGGAATGTGTGTAAAGGTAGAAAGTTGAAAGTGAACATAGAAAATAGTAAGGTGATGAGGATATCAAATGATTTAGATAAAGAAAAATTGGATATCAAACTGGGGAGGAGTATGGAAGAAGTGAATGTTTTCAGATACTTGGGAGTTGACGTGTCGGCGGATGGATTTATGAAGGATGAGGTTAATCATAGAATTGATGAGGGAAAAAAGGTGAGTGGTGCATTGAGGTATATGTGGAGTCAAAAAACGTTGTCTATGGAGGCAAAGAAGGGAATGTATGAAAGTATAGTAGTACCAACACTCTTATATGGATGTGAAGCTTGG